ACAACTCCGTTCTCATGCCACCTACAAGCTTCCCATACTTTCCCAAAACTTTGCTACGTGGGGTAAACAGTGCGCGTGAAACGGCAACAAAAGACACTTCTCTCCAGCGGTCAAATACGACCCCGTCGTGTTTTGCACGACGAATGGTGTGACCGTTCTTAATGCCATAATTTCTATTTCCTTCCCAAGAGTATGCTGACCTCTCAGCCCTCTTCAGTACCCTCAATTCTTCCAGTCCAATTAGATGGGGCTTACCGTAGTACCTGACAAATCGCTTTACACTTTGTTGACAGGAAACCTGGAAAACAGATACAACAAACTGTTGCTTGTTGCTTCTGCCTGAAGGCTCGCGAAGTGTAGAAGTAGGCGGAACCATCGAGATGACCCAGCAATATTCTCCAAAAGAAGGGAGTGAGACTTATAAGATCTAAGCAGCAAAGAGGAAAGTATAGCACGTGTGTTCTCAATAGTCATGTGATGAATGCTTACCGGAAAGAGAAACTACTAAAAACTGAATAAAATCTATCTGCGTTTCACTCTGCCGCATTACCAAACTCTTCTCACATTGCGGACGTCATTTGGAGCTTGAGAGGTCGGCTGGTCTTTTATGAAGAGCAATGGCCAGCAATCGCTATGCGCCAGTTGCTCTATGCGGAAGTAACATACTAGCGCCCGTGGTGCGCTTACCGTGACTGGAAGCACTGTAACCCTATAAAGCAGCAAAAAATTTCAGCGCAGCCGCACATTCATGGCGTGTATTGCTAGCGGTTTTCCCATGTCATTCGTATGTGAGCTAAAGGACGCGAGCAAGAGAGCACAGGAGTGGACTGGATAGGCTTTACTTATGATGTAGGGTTCTACTCAAGTAAAATTCTCCCGCCAGAACGCGCTCTCCCATCTTAGAAAGGATAGAGTGACATCGAAAGCCTGATGCAAAATCCGTTCCTTCGCAGGCACTCAATGATCTCCTAATTGTTTCAGTTGTTTGATTCGCATGTTTTTTATATTCAAGTCGAAATTTTCTTCTTACTTGGAGACGTCGCCAGTTTGAGTGGTGGTCAATCTGGAAACTCGCAGGTGGTCGCCGTCAAATTTCGGCAGGTCACTCTCAAGGTCGCAAGAAAGGCCAGAGCCAATCGAGAGGCGAATTTCCAGCAAAATGACGTTGGGGATGTTGCTGTGACTAACGACTGGACTTCCTGAGAAGGGGTGAGCGACAATTACTTTATGCTGCCCTAACGTCCCTGAGTAGATTCGTTTGATTGTGAGCCTATAAGCAGAAAGGATCAAAACCCATTTACTCGTCAACTTTAGTTTTTGAAGTAGAGAAGGATTCGCTCCATATGGGCATTACCCTTGGACTACACTGCATGCAAAAGTCAGGTCCGCTTAGAGTGGACACTGATTTCCAACCATGTATATTGAGTGGTTGTTGTGTGCGAGGGCGATGGTGCAAATCGCGGAGAAGGCGCCGTTTAGAAGCCATTCGCTAGGCTGGCTCCGGAGGCGGGTACTTGCCCAGCCAGGTTCTCTCTGGCGAGTTTATCGGGAGATGAGCCCAAGTCAAGAGAGGACAAGAGGTTGTCCGAGATGAGTCTACAGGCCCTTGCGGGTACTTACTGCACGCGCCAACTGACCATTATGGAGGGAGGTGGCATGGGTGTCCCAGGTTCTACGGTTGGATGAGCGAAAGTCAATTGTCATAGGTGAAACAAGGAGTCGCGCGTATAAGAGTCGATGGCGGGCTTCTCCCAGGTTGAATGTCACAGGTTCGGTAAAATGGAACACGACAAGGGTACAAGCGAATAGGTCGTGGGGCCTAGAACAATTGCGTCGAGTCGTCAACGACTGAGCCCGTGTCGTGGAAAGCGCAATTTATAGAAGTAGCCCTTTTATTTAACTTACGATTCAAGAACTGATCATTCTAAGGGGTTTCGTGGGAACATGCATCTATGTTCATGAAGGAGCTGGTTGTTTAGTGGAGATTGATCGCGAGAAGTCCTCCACTGTAGACGTGGATATCCACAGCGTTATACGCATGATCCCGGGCCATCGTAGGGTGAGCAAGCAACGATTTCATAATTAATGTGACAAAAAGAAGCTACCAGTTTAATAACATATATTATTTCTACAACAGAGTGAGTGCTCGTGTGAAAGAATTGAGAGTGGTGTCCGTATTTGTACCGCTTTCTGCTTCCAAAAGACGGCTCAGCGTCCAGCGTACTTATAGGTCGCAGTGGGAGAAAAGTAGTCGAGTTAAGCGCGGTTATCAATAAATTACTCTCAGTTGATAGCTCCTGCACGGAGGGAGTATGGGCGTGTCGAGGTGGGATGCAGGTTTGCGCGAGTGCCAAACACGCGTGTGTCTCCTGCACTGCCCTATTTGTAAGGCGCAGGCAGGGAAGTGATATGACGTAGGTATCGATATAATAGTCGTATTACGTAGTTTGTCTACAGGGTCTTGTCGAGTGTTTGACGACAGATACCCTTCAGACAAGAGGGAGACGAATTTGTCGTGGGGCTTGTGACGGCGTGAGGGATAGTGCACTGCATGGGATGCGTGCGCAGTGATCACAGGTGCCAAGTGCGGTCGCGCAGCGACCATGGTTCACGGATCATCACCTCACTACAGCTGAGCGTGCCTTTCTCTGTCACGGAGCGGGTGATGTGCAGACACATTGTCCTTGAAGAATGAAGTTCCTGGTGCACAGGCACACGAGGGCTGCGTCCCAGTGAACTCCACAAGACTCTTGAAAAGATACATGCTGAGGGCTGGCGACTTGACGCTTGTGACGAGCGGAAGGCGCCGTCCCACAAGGCGCGTAAGTGGACGCGGAGTGGAGCGAAGGCGACTAGCGTTCATCACTGGTGACAAGGCTCATGTTACCATGTAGCTGAGTGAGAGTTATTGGCCGCGGTTCTCTGGAGACTATGTGCATAGGATGCGTGATTGTTGTGGAATGATGTGCCGAAGTCTAGATTCATGCAGGAGGGAGGAGACAGAAGTGACGTGAGAGTCGTAGCGAGGTGCAGGTCAGCAACGGAGTGAGTGAAGAAAGCTGTGATTTAGCAATAGGGGAGAGAAGATGAGCGAGGACTTTCGTCGGCATATTTCCTACATAATTACGTGCTCGGTTCGAGATAGGGTGCTATCAAGGATATGCACTGTTTTTTTTCCTCTCTGGAGTGGCCCCATTGGTATTTTATCAGCTGTTGTTACGCCCTGCCATCCACCAATAATGTTCCCATCCTGCTCCCTATCTTACTACTTGGATCCAACGGTCGTTGTTGTGGCCGGTGTTATGATTAAGGTAATCCACTCCTTCTAAGGCTTCTTACGGTATCTTATCAGCTGTTATCAGCTTCCCTGCCGACGCACATATGTTAGCCATCCTGCCCCCTATATTACTTTGTGGAACCAACGTCTTGTCGTTGCTGTAGCCCGCGCTATGAATTTGGTGACCCTCCCCTTCTAATCCCCTGTGGTAATGTATCAGCTCTTTATCAGTTCCTGACACCTACCAATAGTGTTCCTACCCGACTCCTTACATAATTTAGCAGTTCGAGCGTACTATCGCTCTTTTGCAGGAAGTTAAGAATTTTCGGTCAACGCACAGACACACATACCACACCCACCAACAGAGCAAACTTAGGCGAATTATTATATAGTAGGATGTCATCCGTTTTTGCGCGAACCCCACCTACATATTTCGGGCGCGCGTTAATGAAAGAAAACTCAAAATTATCATATGCGATTAGGGGTGATTTTTTCTCTAATATTGCGAGGATCTGATCAGCCTGTTGTCTGTTTTTTTTATTTTTGTAAGATGATATCGTAGTATTCCGTCCCTCGAGTTTAGCGTTATTAGTGCGCGGGGGTGTGTCTAAGTATTCCTTGCTGGCCTAGGGGCTTCGGCAAGGCAGTATTGTTCGATGGTGTAGGTGGTTTAAGATGGTTGTGTATGCAGGAGATCGACTACTGTAGCGGGCTGTGGTAGTATTGGGCATGGTGAGTAAGTGATCGGGTGCGTGCTGCGTTGGACATGCAGGCGTTCGAGGTAGGGGTGCGTGGGCAGCTGCGAGTTGAGCGGATTGCATGATGAGTATGGTGCTGTTGCTCGGGGAGGTGGAGCGGTAGCACCGACCCCTCAGATTCTTCGTCAGTACGACCCCTTCCCACAATCTACCCTAAATGGTTATCGTACCTAAGTAATTGGATAGAAGACTGCGACCTTATCCCGTCGGTTTAACGCAGCGATAATCTGTCCCAGTGGGAAATCACTTTCTAAATTTTTCCACTCCACGCGCTTGAAATGGCTTTCGGCGCGAATCGGCGCGATTCAAATTCGGCTTCGGCCTTTGCTAGTCGAAAACCTATCGAGCGATATCGATTGCTTTTCCTTGCACTGCGCTACGAATGGCCGGTAATCGATTTTGTTTCTTTAGCTGGTACTTCAGAAATATTCCTGTGCTTAAATTTGGTATAGTGCAGTTGTCTTCGCGATCGCATAAATGTCACCCAATGATAACTTGTTTGTAAAATGTATAGGGACGACAGAAGTGTCTGTACCGCTAATTACTTTTTTAAGGGAGTGACTTTTATCAACTACGTTACAAAAATGCCTATAGGAAACTGATCATCACCATGTATTTGGCAGGAAACATTCTATCCTATTACATTGGGGCCTTTGTGTCATCGGCCAATGCACAGGGGTCGTTGTGGCGATGAGGCTGTATTTTTTTTGAAACCCCCAGAAACTCCCTCAGTTAACCTAAATTCGTTAATAATACTCATGAGAACCAAATATGCCCTCCCTCTGTGGTCGCAAAAGTCCACCCCTATACTTAACGAAATCAGCGCACGGCATGCTCTGGTTTGGTATTGCTCATTGCCCGCGACTTTAACAAATTTTGACCCGATTTTGCGAATTTTGTGTTGGCTGTGGATTTTTGTGTTGGTTTGCTCGTCTTTTCAATCGACGCTAAAGTGCGACGTAAAAATGAAAAGTGTCGGGATAAATGTGAGGTATTGTTCGGTTGGAGGGGGCACGCTTCAAAAATAGAGGACTACAGCACTCTGCACGTCCGTCTTGTTCCTTTCACAAGAGCAGCGGTCCGTTTTCCCCGTTTCTTCAAGTGATGGACTGTCAACTGCCCATCGTCGTTCGTTTGGGAAGATCCGCTGAAAGCTCGCAATCCAAATGCTGCTGCATTTCCTTGAGCAGAACAGTTTTATTTGAAATTTGATTTCGAGAAACAAACCAAGTCCTTTTTGGTGCACAATGGGGCTAGTCTTCAAGTGTCGATGTGTAACGTGTCGCACGATAGCGCTGATTTTTCTGTTTACTTATTGTTACCAGAGATCTGTTTCATCTTCTAATTTTAGTACTCTAAGAGACTCTGCCCCGTGATTCCTTTGGTTTTTCATATTCGAATCTCACTTATCAATCTGTGCTACTTGCTGTTAAAGTCAGCTTTCTTAGACCACGTTCAGACTTCGCGATAGGATCGCACGAAATTGGATCGCGCGACTACTACTTTAATTGGCACTGTGTGAAGGCGGCTAAATTAATTTTGCTGTTGCGGCAGTGCACCGCTTGGCGGTGAAGCGCGCCCGGTCGTTGTCGCGCGATCCAGTCGCTCGAGTGATCCGATCGCGAACTCTGAACGCGGTCTTACTTCGCTACTGATCGCTCGACTCAAGCATGGCATTCGTACCCCGCGGAGCGCTTTAGTGACTAGTCGCCAAGATTAAATTTACTCTTATCTCTGCGTTTGCTTTTGTTTCTGCTGTAACATCGTGGTTTCGGGGTCCTCTTATTTTGAACTTCTTTTTCAAGTTACAGAACGAGCTCAGCTGATCCAACTGGCATAGAATTACGAGATATGGTTTCACCGTTCCGTATAGGAATGACAGTGAATCCTCGAAGGTACTTACACAAACTTCTCGCCATTTTTTTTGCTGAAATAAACTTCTCAGGCTTTCCGTGAATGATTCATTCCGAGATGTGGAGAATAATATCAGAAGAGCAGTTGCTAGCTTTAATGGAACTATGGATGAAATTCATATGTCCGAGTCTTCAAGGTACAGAATGACTTTCTCCAGTCAGCGTCTTTGACTTTCATCTGACCTTCTTTTCAGAGTTTCTCGTGTTGGGATTGCTTTCGGACACATTTGCAACTTACTCAATGACATGGTGTGTTTTTCTATTACTAACGTGTTTTATTCTTTCTTGAAAAAAAAAACTTGTATGTGAGCCTCTGGGTATAAAATGTTTTTTTTCGCTTAGGTTTCATCAGAAGAAGACATGGTCGCAAGTGTAGGCTTGGAAATCGAAAATGGCTTGAACAAAATCAACAGCATGCGGTCCCAGCTGGGAATGGAGCCGTGGGAGAACAGACGGGCACCACCAGGATCGATTGAATTGGTACATGGCACTTCAAATTGGTTCATATTGCGTAAAAGAAAGAGGAATCCCTCCTCGACAAGCTCCCTGTACCCGAAAGCCTTTGGACCTCTGGTACCTTCGATTTTTCAACAAGTGCGAGTAAATTGCTGTTGATGCCAATTTCGGCGAATGACAAAACATTGTAGCGTTTGCCGTCGGAGAGTACTCTCGACTGACGAGAACAATTGGAATCGCTCGGCTTTATGTCGGGCGAATGGGGCGATTGAACCCAGGTCTCAGTATTGTTTGTGTCAGCACTGCCCTACAATACAGTTACTCGGGGTCTGGCACTATGACGAGCAACGGTGGCGCCTTTTTATTGTGGTACCATCCATTTGTCGATCTGATTGTCGAGGAACAGACAATATACACCGACAGCTACGATTTTATTCTCTGTATAGAGCCGCCTGAAAGTCACAGTGTGGGAATCCTTCACCATGATGATCATCCACTTGCGCTCACGTAACTCTTCACGGTAGAAATCGCGCGGCTTCTCATTTGCCTTCATACAAAGTTGACGGTTGTGGGTTTTAGCTCGAAGTCCAAGACCACCCATATTTCATCTAGGGCCGGGGTACGTTTTCACAGTCGTGAAGAACATCTCATGCTGAGAACATTACTGCTACAGGCAGAATCGGTACTGCTTTCGTGCTTCTACAAGAAAATTAGGTACCCATACGCACATCCTCTTGACCGTCCTCAATTTATCGGACATATTTGGGGCAGCAGTTGCAGCAGGGATGTCAGCCTCGCGGGAAGCTCGACAAAGGTCCACGCTCTGGGATCAGGCATTCAGCGCTTTCATGGTCATCAACGACAACAAATTTTTTCCTTTCTTCCTTCTTCGGGCTCCTGAACCAAACCTTCCACCTTGTATTTCGAGAACACCATTACACACAACTACTGGTCAAATTTGAGCAGCGCACTTCCCTCTTATGACGCCTGATTTGAAAATCCGGCGCTGATTTTCACCACTCGGGCTTCTTTTCAATTTCTCGAGAACTTCTTCTGTGGGTAGGTTCGCCAAATTTCACAGATACACAGCTAAAGGTACTAGCTTCCAAATGGTATAGTCCCTATCCCCTTTCCTTTTCTGCCATTCTTCTATATGTATCGGCACTTTTGAATGGAACGGATTACCTAATACTTGCAGCAGCCATACTTTGTCTTGTGATGCAGGGTGCGGTGGAACATTTCTGGTGAGAATGGCTTATAAGGGAAACATAGGATGTGGAACGATGTTTCCTGCGGCTCTCGGCCCATAGTTCGGATACAACATCCGCTGTTCCCACGAATCATCGGGTGGAGCACTCCATGAAGGATTTCGAGATTAAACGCCTTTTAATTACTTGGATGTTGAATATGGTTTGCCTCCCAGAAATGCCGGTCATTTCCTAAATTAGGGTTTTATTCCATGTTTTCAAGATACTATTGCTTGCCTGTTTGGATTTGTGGAGCTTTCCAAGCGATTTCGGCGCTAACGTGGTGAGGGGACTCTTGGTCGCGTCTCTGTGTCCCTTCTCCCGAGAAGGCTCAGGCATCTAGTGCAGACGACCACAGTCGGCGAGCCATAGTTACACTCATTAGACATGGTCTTTACTATGCCTAGGCCTTGATTACGAGAAGAGATACGGAGACGCTGACAAAAGAACTCCTTCGTTTATGCCGTGTTTTTCAGAATTGAATATTTCTCATGTATAGCACAGTCGCGAAAGAAAAAACTTGGGACAAGACCACATCGCGCTCTTTTTAAAAGTTTTACATGCAGTTTTTAAATGGCACATGAAAATGCTTTGCTCAAATCAAGTACACCTTCTTAAAATGCTATTTTAAGAAATATTAGGTTGTCCGGAAAGTTCTTAGCGTTTTGTGCACCTAATCTTTGTACATTCACTGCTGATTAAAAACTCATTCTGCCTTGCTTCTCAGTAGCACATCCTGTAGAGAATTTCTTGCGCTACTAATACTGAAAAAAAGATAAAATTTTGTGTATAGATTGCGCGGAGTTCACGACATTGCTTGATAAACCCTATTTTCAAGATTTTCAAGCATGTGAAAGAGAAGCAGCTTCGAACGAATTTTTTTCTTCGACTATAAATTGGAGCAATCCGCAATCGAAACAGCTCAACAAATTAACCAGGTGTGGGGGCCCAATAGTGCTAGAGAAAGCACTGTGCCGCAATGGCTCAACAAATGTCGTTCTGGAAATTTCAGCCTTGAAGGTGAGCCTCATAGCGGTCGACCTAAAGCAATATCTGACGAGGATTTTAGGGGGATTTTGAAGGTTGACCCATCCCAAACAGTTCGAGAGATAGCAGAAGAGCTAGGCCTTGGCAAATCCACTGTTGCAGATGGTCTGGAACGCATTGGGAAGGTGAAAAAACTCGACAAT